AAAATGCCATTAAATAATATTAAGTTATGTATTAACTTTGGTGACTTTTATTAACTTTTTATTTCTTTGATAAAGACAATATTTTTACATTATTTTATAAAGAAACTTTAGTCTTAGATTTTGCCTCCATCTAGTGGACATGTTGGTCTTTTTCATGTAATTGAAATGAAAAAAGGATAAATCAACTGCTCAATTTTTATTGCTCATTTTAGTTTTGTGGAATTAAAAAGTGGGGGGACCACAGTTCATAACTAAAACAGTACATTTTTAACACTTTTTTCAATAATTTATTTCAAAGAGATTTTGAAGTGGTATATAATTGAAGATACATATGATCATTGGAAATTAAAAAATCAAAAGAAGAAAATGAGCAGCCACCTAAATTAATATAGTTACTCTAATTTACAACTACATTATCTCCAAATCTTTTATATTGAGGAAAACAATAGTTGTATGATTATTATTTGATCAAATAAACCATATTGTTTTATGAGTAAAAAATTTCAAATTAATTTTTATAATTAGAATGTGCTCAATTATTTTAATTTTGTAGATGTATACCATACATACGATAAAATTCAAAAATCTTGAAGAATTATTCAAAGTTAACATACCCATGTGACTAACAGCTGAAGGTATGGGAAATAACTGGTATTCCAAAAGCCTATTTTGTCCTGCCCCTCAGTGTTCCTTCAAAGTTGACCACTGCTCTAGCTTTTACTACCATTATTTGAGTTCAACCTACATAAATGGAATGATTTACTATGTGTATTTGTGTTTGGTGTGTTTGTTTGTTTGTTTTTAATCAATGTTATGCCTATGAGAGTCATCCATAATTCCACATATAGGTTTGTCTTTTTCATTGCTTTACTCTGTTATATCAGCATATAATAATTTATAGATATGTTTTATTTTTTTATTCTCTTATGTGCCTTTAGAATGTTTGCAGTTTGGGGCTCTATAGTATTATACAATTATGATAATCAAGCATATTTTAGCGTGCCGCATGAAACCAGTGATCGCACTTTGAACTCACCTGTCCAGTACCTGCCCTCACTCCGCACTTTCTGTTGGTGACATATTTCTTGGACTTTGGATCCAGACTTTTCTGAGGTGACATTCCATCTGTGCCACACCCTAGCTGTGTGGTCTCAGGCAATTTTCTGAGTCTTTCTGAATCTCAGTTTCCCTATTAGGGAACTGTAAAACCTCTTTTGAGAAGCTGATGTGAGAAAGGAGAGATCAATGGAAGGTCCTTTGCTTTGATCAAAAACGAATTTAAACTCTATGCACGTCTTCTTTGGTTTGCAGGGCAATACACAAGGGTACTCCCAGGGCTGGCAAAAAACATCCAGGGCGGGGAGGATCCACAGTCACTATGGCAACCGGAGACGCCTAGCGTTTACCGCAGCTGACTGCAGAGCTGAGAAAGCCGGGCGACAGGGCGACAGCCAGACAGACCGCGAAACCCCTCGTGGCATGAGGCAGCAGGAGGCCGTGGTAGTGACCGCGGCGGCAATGCCCGAGGAGGGCTGCGATGGGGAGCAGCCTCGGCAGCTGGCAGGGCTGGTGTGCAGGGCGCCCGGCGTCTCCCAGGAACCCCACAAACAGTGTGAGTTCAGCTGCAGCCGCGGACTCTGTCGCAAGGGGTGGATGGGTGTGGAGAAAGAGTGAAAGCTGCAGGACATCTGAGTGGCACTGGCTGAAGAGAAGGTCAGAGCGGGAAGGGGTGGGGAGCTGCTGTTTTGGCAAAGGCAAAGGTGATGTCACTGTGGTAGAAAGCATCCTGGACATTTCCCCAAGCCCTCTTTTACAAAAGACACCAAAGCCCAGCGTGGGCATCACCTACAACTTAAGGATTGACAGAGGAATTATTCTGTAAGAGAATTATAAATGTATATAAATATATATATAATTATACACACAGAGAGAGGCCTTTACATGTGTATAACATGTAGACATTTATATATGCATGTATGTGTGTATGCACATCATTTTGACAATTCCTTCAATATACAGATTAAGAAATTGTGGTATAGAGGAGAGGAAGTGACTTGCCACCATTAATCCATCAGTGCTGGAGAAATACATAAAATGCTTTAATTCTCATCTCTTGAACTCCAAATCCATATATTATTCCCTGATCCTTTTGGAATCTCAGTTAAGGACTTTTTTTGGGGGGGGTGGGGGCGGTTACTGAGGACTGAACCCAGGGGTGCTTAACCACTGAACCACATTGCTATACCTTTTTTATTTTTTCTGAGACATGGTCTCACTAAGTTGCTTAGGGTCTCACTAAATTGCTGAGGCTAGCTTCTTCAAACTTGCAGTCCTCCTGCCTCAGCCACCTGAGCTTCTGGGATTACAGGCCTACGCCATGGTGCAACATTTTAACACACTGCTGTCCCGTGGCCCCCACCCCACAACATACAAGCAATGTTCAAATATGTAAAGACAGTTCCAGTCCACAGTTACATCCAGCATGGTTATAACGAGTCCTAGCCGGGTTTCAATGCTCACCCACATTGTTTCATAAACTTACAGATACTTGACAGCCTGTTGCACTCCACAGGTCTTCAGGTGCTAAGGAATGATGATGAAAATAATAGGACCAAGAGGAACACAAGCAGTTTCTAGCCTCCTTGATTGCCTCTCTGGGGAGTAGCCTAAGACTTTCCAGCCTCCCTCCAAACTGGCTGATCCCAGAAGGGAGCACTGGGCTCAAGCTACCAGCACTTGTGCTTCAGTGGACCCATACCCTCCTCTCAAGAGATCTTGTCAAGGAGTAAGTCACTGAACCACTGCCTCCTGGGGAAAAGGGTCTGTCCCTCAGCATCATCCCAAAGGTATCTATGATACCTCATTCCTCTTTTTATTATTATCAACAGCAAACAGAAGCCTTACTTAAAGTAATTAAAATCAGTGTATTTAGGTATCAGAGATCCCTTACCTCTGGTTTAAATTAAATCTGGCAACTTTTCCATTAAAATGCTTTAAAAGGTTTAAAATGCTTAAAAGCATCAAAAGGATTTTTTAGTCTAGGGCTTTAGGAATAAATGGTAGATTTATTCATTCATCGATTCAACATATACTGAGTCTTTACTAAGGCTTTGGGCAAGTTGCAGGAAATAGGGAAATGAATGCATATAGGTACTAACTTTCATGAGTTCACAAAGTCAGGGTAGAGGCATGCAAAGGGTTTTGCCTTGGTTTCCTTGAGAACCTCCTTTCAAGGACTCAGACTAAGTAGAGAGGGGCTGTTCAAACCACACAAAGTATGCATTCAATTTTCATATGTTTTTAATTACTGGAAAAGTCTTTAGTCTCTCTATAGCCTCTAGTTTCTAATCACAGATGTGCTCTCAAATATACACGAAGTGTGGTCCTTTCCCACAAACATCCTTCAATTATATAAAGGTGACCTTTGGAGCACCCATAAAAATGCATCAAAGAACTAATTAGCTTTATAATCATTTGTAGTGCTTTTGCCATTCTGGCTGGTCTCTTCCAACATTATCCCATTAATTAAATCACTGAACCCATTATTGTAGGTATTTTCTGATTATACAATGTGGTGGAACTATAACTCCTTTGATCAGAGAACTATACTTCTATTAAATGGATCCAAAATAATTTGTAATACAAATGCAGTTTATGACAATCTTTAGTTTGTCTTTCTCCCTTTCCCAGGTTCTAGTCTCCTAGATTAGGTTTGATTAATATATTTCATATATCTATTCATGTATACATATTCATATATACATGTATATATATTCATATATTACACACACACACACACACACACACACACACACACACACACACACACCATGTCTTTCCATTCACAACACAGGCCAGGCACAGGGCCTGAGCTGAGTTGTACATGGGGTAGACTTACTCTGCCTCCTTTTTCTATATAGTCATTGTAAGAATGACTTGTGGTAAGCATCAGGAGGCCTAGGCCATATATTTATCCCCTTAAATGCTATCCTGTGGATTTTTGCATTTTCTTCCAGCTTTAGAAGCAGCCTTTGAGAATCCTAATTGTCATTCAACCACTTACCCATTCACCCAAGTTTATGCCATTCTAGTTCCTTTATTCAAATCAACAAATTAGATGGTGATCTCATCAGAACTGTTCAGTTCCAAGAAGACTTTGATCTGTTAATCAGCATCCTACGTGTGGGCATTCTGCCTCCCCCTCCGGAAAATCCACTTTATCAAGCGCCTTGTTGAATGCAGATATATTGTAACTATCTCCCCAGTCTAGTAGTTTAGTAACTTGAGGTATGGAAAAGTCAGGTAGTTTGGCTTCTTGTTTTTATTACTTTAGTTTTATAACTTTAGACAGGTACTTTCTTAATAATAAAATAGAAATAATTATATTTACCCATAGGTAATTGTGAGGAAGAGAAACAATATGAGTATTAGATGCCTAAAGCATGGTAATATTGAATAAATTGTAGCACTTGCTACATGAAATAGCATTATTCCAAAAGAAAATATAGAATAACATTTTTCTTAGCAGTCCCTCTTAAAACTTAATGGGACCAGCACCTTGGGAATCACTTGTAATTCCAGCAGCTTGGGAGGCTGAGGCAGGAGGATCACAAATTCAAAGCCAGCCTCAACAACTTAGTGAGACCCTAAGCAACTTGGCAAGACCCTCTCTCAAAATAAAAAAATAAAAAGGGCTGGGGATGTGGTTCAGTGGTTAAGCACCCCCTGGGTTCAATGCCTGGTACCAAAGAAAGAAAAAAAGAAGGAAAAAATTAGTGGTTACTGTTTCTCATTGTCTATAGACAGAAGCCATTTGTTGACTATTCACTCAAAATTTTGGTGAAGATCAACATAAAGTTGCTATGTTATAGTTTGTAGATTTCTTCCTTCCCTCTCTTCCTCCCTCACTTGCTCCCTTCCTTTCTTCCTTCTTTTTCTTTGTAGAAGATAAATTGCTTACACTTGCTCTTTCTACTCTCAATGTTCACTGTTCTTTAAATCACCTTTGCTGATTACCTCTAAATTTTCTTAAAAACAAAGCTGAAATTTGTCAGAAGATCTCACCCTACAGAAGGTAACTCTACCCATTATAGACTAGCTGTTATAGACTTTGTTCCTTTTCTAGCCAAGTTTATTAAATCCTTTCCTGCCTGAAGATTATGATTCTATAGAAAAAAAAATTAACCAAAATTAATGCTCTTATCTCTCATAATATGACTCCCAACTTTTAGGAAGAATGAGACTTTTAGGAAGAATGAACTTTTAGGAAGAATGAGAGTATCTAACTCTACCTTGTCTGTATCTAAGGGTGTGATTGAGTCCTCATGACCAGTAATGACCCAGGCCACTGTCATGGCAGTATGTCTCTTGCCCCCATTTAGCCAGTGTGTAGTCAAGTCAAATGAACTCCCTTGTGTTATTACTGGTTGGTCTGGAAAAGATGAGACACCTCCCATATCTTTGTAGGTTTAAAATCGAATCTTTAATAAAATGAGTCAGGTACAGTGGCGCATGTTTGTAATCCCAGCAACTTGGGCAACTGAAGCAAGAGGATCACATGTTCAAAGCCAGGCACAGCAACTTAGCAAGACCCTAGGTAACTTAACATGACCCTGTCTCAAAATTAAAAAATAAGGGCTGGAGGTGTGGCTTGGTAAGTGCCCCTGTACTCAAACTCCCAGTACCCCCTGCCCCACAAAAAAAATAAATAAATAAGTGGTTTGCTTGAGTTTTTTGTGGCTCCTTAAATTGAGCTCTTGGGTACCAAGCCTAAAAGCATGTTTCCTGACATTCACAGGTTGCATTGTCAGGCAGGCACATAGAATAGTCTTTGCTTAGGGTTCTATCAAATCTTATGATGGTTGGTTCTACCTGAGCATACATTACTCAAACCTTTGTTATATGCCAAGTCCTCTTCTAGGACTCTGATAAACTGAACAGACATTATCCCTACCTTATATGGTGTTCAATAGTCTGGTTAAGAAGACAGATATCAGTCAGGTATGGTGGTATACACCTGTAATCCCAGTGACTTAGGAGACTGCAGCAGGAGGATGACAGTTTGAGGCCAACCTCAGCAGTAAGTCCCTGTCTCAAAATTAAAAGGTCTGGGGATATAGCCAAGTGGTAGAGTGCCCCCCTCCCATTTAATCTCCAGTATAAAAACAGAGGAGAGAGAGAGAGAGAGAGAGAGAGAGAGAGAGAGAGAGAGAGAGAGAGAGAGAGAGA